AAAAATTTATATATAATATATATAGAAGGTATATTGTTTAATTATAAAAAATTTAAATTCATAGCTTTACAATTTAAAGAGTTAGAGGGGAGGTAACCTTTCCATGACCAGTACTGTAGTATATTTATACTGAGCTTATAATAAATTTAAGAAAAAAAGGTTAGTAATATACTATGCAAAAACTTAAATATATTAATGCGCAGTAACTGCATAGTAACTGTATATGTAGTTACGATTGAATTTAATGTAATTACTACGTCGTTACTATGCAGTTACTGCGTATTAAGATATTTAAGTCAGTACATATTACTTGTTATAAAAAGCTTATATCAATTTCGTAATAAATAGTGTTATCAAAAAGGAATTATATAAATGATAATTATTATGCGCTTTCATTATGTAATACTTTAGAATAAGATAAAAATTGAAATTTAGTTTTATAGGTTTCTCTTTGACATCACCTATATAGTTCATTTTGATTCAAAATTACTTTTATTATCGGAATAAAAGAATCTGCAGCTAAGCACACTTGACGCGAATATTTGTTAGAATATACAAAATATTATATGACTATTAAATACCGCATAGCAATGATGATACAGAGAGACCTCCCTAAATGCACCCCCTCAGGACCATAGTAAAAATTTTCAAAAATGTGCATTTAGAGAGGCGTGCATTTATAAAGAGCAAAATATATAGTGCTATTATAAGCTCGGGTCAAACTATACTGTGCATTTAAAGAGATTTTACATACAGGGTGCATTTATAGATGGTGCATTTAGAGAGGTCTCTTTGTAACTGATCGTAGTTTTAATGGATACATAACGACAATGACTTAAGGAAAAGTAGAAGGCTAAGCAGAATTATCCAGATAAATACGTAACAAAAACCGAGTTTAGTTTTACTAATTAATACAGAGTTATAATCTCAATTGATTAACAAAAACAGAGTTCGGTTTTTATTGTTACTTATTTTGTGGCAGAAAGTGTGATTATCAAAAAGTTGGCGTATAGTTGCAGAGGCATTGATGAAACCTGCATCATTACCCTTTTCACCGACAGCCGACATCACATGGGTTAGGGTTAGTGTTTTATTAATTTTAGTAAATCGTCACTTGGAGTGATGTCGGCTAAATGAGCTGTCGGTAAAAGCGGACTACATACCATATTTTCGCGTAATAACGTTATTTAGAATAATGGCCCGAATTAAGCTTAATTTGGGCCAAAATTTGAGATTACACCACTGCGCGTTATTTCGCGAAAAATACGAATAATTTTTATTCAAGCAATTTTTTTATTTACATCAATACAATACGGATAGGATCTTCTGTTTTTGTAAAACATAAATTTTTAAAAAACGTTTTTGTAATAAAACCTATATAAAAAATATTAAAATTTTAAAAAGAAAGACATTTCAAAAAGGTTAGATATTTCAAACGGCTTTTTTAAAATTAAAAAAAATAAATAAATAAATACTTAAATTTGCTTATATAACTGTTCTCTAGAACAACCTAAAGCATTAATATTAATTAATTTAGTAAAAAATTCTTTTATACAGTATTATTTATTGATTATATTATATAAAATTTAGGCTTGTTTATAATAATACTGTAATATAGGCATTAAATAATTAATTAAATAATCTTTTAAGTTATTTCGATTTGAAGAGTAATTATTCATTTGAACCATTAAATCATTTTAATTCATTTGCTAACCCAACCCTAAATCTTGAGTAACAAACTCTTGTAAAAAAAACTCAGTGTTCGAGCAAAAGAAAGACCTCTCGCTCATTTAGATTAATAGGAAACATCATCTTAAAATTAGCTAATTGATATGTAGTATATTACTGTGAAATGTGAAAAAATAGGCACAACACCCTTTACCCTCTGGTTAATAAGTAAAGATTTTACTGCTATTTCCGCTAATCTAAAACTGAAAAAGTAAGGTAGAGGGTGCAGTGCTTGTTTTCCACATTTTACGGTTAAAAATTTTATATAAAGTCTAAAAACATAATAAAAAAAGCATAATACGTATGCGTAAATACGCCACAAGTGAGTTTTATAATAAATGTTCATCGCTGTATAAACAGTTAAAAAACGATTTAAATTTTCAACATTTTTAAATTCAAAGTCGTAATTAAGAGCGCATTATAAATAATTAGTTGCTTTATTAATTGTAGTTTGAATGCAGTATGAATACTATACAGATTAGATGATGGGATAGGCTATAAAAAAATTTTACAACTTGCGTACTGTAATCGTTGCACGAATTTTTTGGCCCCGATAGATAAAATTGCAAGAATGTCTAATGTATTAAATTAACGTATAAAAAAAAAATATGCAAATAATAAGATGCCATTTAGGAGATTTGTTTTATTACAAGAAAATTAATAACATGAGAATATCTATGCAAATATTTCATTGCTTCACAAAATCGTCCTTCATCTTGTACTCATTTGTATTATTAGATTCATGTTCTTTTCCAGTACCTAATAGAAATTAAATTAGTATATTTTTATATGTACAGTACAAACACTTTATGTGAAAATATTTTACTCACACTTTCCAATTGCGCTTCTAATGCTTTGACCTTTTTATCAGATTCTCGTTTCGCCAGTGCTAATTGATCTTTATCATTAACGGCATTTAAGTATCCGACTTCTACTTGAGCCAATTTTTCATTTAATCTATCACATTCAGTTGTTGACAATTTTAAGGCATTTTCTAATTCTATTATTCGCTGTTCTAACGTCAATGAATTTATCACATTAGAATTATCTTTGCCATTCAAAGTCTCAGTAACAACGCTATCGGAAGATCTTTTTAATGGAATTCCCGTCTCATCCTTTTTAAACGAACCAATATTTCCTTGAATAAGTTGACCTTTTTCTTTTTCTACTTTATTAAGTTTAATCCTAAGATTCTCACAAGTTTTTTCGGATTGAGCCAAGGATTTTTCAAATGTTTGTACTATCTTTTGTTGTTCAACATCAGTCTCAGCTAATTTTTTAGCAAGTGCCGCTATTTGTGATTTATTTTTATCTAATAATTTCTTAGAATCTGTTAATTGACTTGATAATTTACCTTTTTCATCAATTAATTTCGTCAACTTTTCACCAAGTTTTTTCTTTTCAGATTCTAATTCTTTAACCCTTACATCGACCAACATCTTTTCTTTACCGACTTCTATTAATTTTTGTTTCATTGTTTGTTTATCAACTAAAGCTACATTCAACTCTTGTCTTAAAGATTTAACTTCAGATTCACATTTTTTCAACGAATTATTTATAGAATTTTGATTATCAGTAAATACAGCTTCTCGTTGTTGCCACTCTTCCCTCTCAGCGGCCATCCCTTTCATCAACATTTGAACACCATTTTGTTGATCTTCAAAAATTTTTGATAAAGCACTCTTTTGATTTTCAACTTCATGTAATCTATCAGTAATTTCTTCTACTTTACTAGAAGATTTTTTTAATTTATCATATTCTTGTCGTAATTCTAATAATTGAGACTCTAAAGACTTTTGATTTGTATTAGAACCTTGAAATTCCATTTGAAGTTTTTGATATTGTTTTTCCCATTTTAATTTCATTACACCAATTAATCCAATTAATTTATCACGTTCACCTTCTATTTCTTTTAAATCACCTTGTAAACCAAGATTTTCTTCGAATAATTGTTGTCGTTCATCTTTTATCTTTTTTAATTCAACTATTAACTGAGAAACATCAGTAGTAGTAGTAGTTGTATTATTATTATCATTTTCTGAGACCCCTTCCAGAGGGTCAGTAATATTCGATGATATTTGAAAATGTTTTGGAGAATGTTCTGTATCAAGTTTTTCTTTATGTAAATTTTCGGTAGTGGAATTTGGTTGATTTTTTTCTTGATGTAAAGTTTCGGTAGGGGAATTTGTTTGATTTAAGATACCAAGAATATCACTCTCTAAATCTGCATCTTTGTTTAACATGTCTTTTTAATGAATGTTAGAAGTCACTCTCGATATAGTGAATTTTCGAGTAAATTCAAAACCAGTTTTATATAAAAGTCTTTTTTTTTAATATAGAAAATTTAATAATAAACTTTCTTTATAATTGTATAATTGTGGTTTTGAACTTTTTTTTTTTATCTATAATACAAATCTTTTTTTTTCACTATAACGAGAGTTTACTTGTATATGTATAGATCAAGAAATATGTACTTTCGATAATACAAAAGCTGTAAAAATTTTTAAAAAAGTTTCTTTACCATTTATAACTACGGTACGCACGTATCACTTTATTTAAGTTGTCCTTTATGCATTTCCTTGCAGTGTCACAATGAAACACATCGCATGCGTACAGTATGAAATTTTTAACTGGATAAGGTACCCGGTGTGTTGCAAATTTTTTTTTTATAATACAGTATATAGAATGTAATAGAAAAAATTTAAATCACTTATACAGTATTATACATCACATGATTATATAAATAAATAAATTAAAAAATATATATTTGAATTATATTATTTGTCACTTCGGATTTAATATCCGGTGATTTTATGGTAACGTTTGAATATAGAAAAATATTATCTAAAAGAAATGAACACGTTTGCATTATTATCGTTTGTTATTTAGATATCCAATTAAAATATTCGTTTATTGTGTATGGTTTAAAATATTATATTCCTTACTTTACTGTCACACTTATCGTTATTACAATTGGTTTTATTTTTTTATATGTATTCTGTTGTACCGTATTGTTTCCTATTCTCGCGTCAACCTTGCATATTTTGTAGATCACGTAATATTTTTTTACAGAAGAGATACGAATTTGGCTAGCATTAATAAATTATGTCCGAGATTGTCATAATTCAGGCTACGGTTTTTTTAAAACTATTGTCTATCTTAAATGAATATATGTCAAATGAATATGTCAAATGAATATCTCATATGAATTAGAACATGTAAAATAGTCGAAAGAATTCTAAATTGTTTGACTATTGTCAATTTTTACATACAAACAAACAGGTTCCAGAAAATTTTTAGGTATAATAATGGAATAATATTACTAAGAATATATTTCATGAAAGTATGTCTAAATGAAAATAGGGACACTTTATGCTTTTTTAAACATTGTTTTGAAAATTAAGCAATGCAAACATATAATTAATATAAAAATATTCAGAATCGTACGCACCATTAATTTCCATCTGAAAAAAAAAAAACCATTTATTACCGTACTTGTTAACATTCATTTACATATATAGTTAATTTTTTTTAATTTTTTTTACACGTAGCTGTCATGTATGTTTTTATCGACTAATTTAGGTTATTCAAAACTGGTTAATCTCGGCTCGGCCAAAAGCCACGACCCGTTTTTGGATTATTTGATCTACAACAATGTTAAATTTATTTAAAGTTATATAAAGAAATTTTCATATTTCGATGATCTATAAATATCGTAATGGTCAATTGAAATATTTTTATAGTAAAGGGAATTTATAATTTATACGGGGTGTTCAAAAACTACGTATGTACGTACGTAAATAATTAATATTGGATGCTCTAAGATGTTTAGAATCCCAAAAACTTTATTAAAAGTTTAAGCATTTATATCTAACTATATCATAGCCTAACTATATTAATAGTAAAATTATTATATCATTCTCAACATTGGTATATAGATAAGGTGTATTATACGTATAGAAATATAGAAATAGGGATCTTAATAATACCATATGGTATTATCTTTTAAGATTTCTACTGTATAATGGATGCCGCCTAATGTTAATTGTTTTTAGTAGTGCTTGTATTCGAATATACCATGACTTATTTATGAATATATTCGAATATATTTATGAATATATTCGAATATATAGATTTATGAATATTAAAATAATCAATAATTATTTATAAATATTAAAATATTCATAATAATCATAATATTCATAATATTCATAATACTGTAATATTTACGAATATTCCATATTCATAATATTCATAATATTTACGAATATTCATAATATTCATAATGTTTAGATGTTTATAATACAGCAAAGTCCCGAATATAAGCAACCCTCTAAGCCACCCATTTTGTCTGATTTTTTTAGAAGGCTGCTTAAAATTTCAGTAACTTTGAAATACTTAATTTCTATCTGCCAATCTTAATAAAAATTATTCTTAATTTTATTGTATTTAGCAATTTTAAAAAGGTTGTTTATTTTTATTTTAACATTAAATTTGAGGTATTGTGATTGCTTTACGAATATTCATAATATTTACGGTATTGATCAAATATGTGAATTATAAAAAATTATTTTGTTTGCAATAAAATAGTTCGATAATTTTTACTTAAATAACATGTTCAAAATAGTTTATTCGCATTAATTTATTTGCAAGTATAAAAAACATTAAGTATTTAAATATTCAAGTTCATGTTAATTTGTCTGTGTAGAGTTCCTATCCATTATCCGTTTATCCATATATCTATTGGATATCCAGATCTGAAATTATTCGGATATCCGTTTACTATTGATATCCGGATAAATTCTATGTCTGTGAGTATTAATACAGAATATTTTATGAATATTCATTATATTTATGAATATTCATAATGTTTATGAATATTCATAATATATATTTATGAATATACATAATACTTACAAATAATATCCGCGAATATTTGGAATTACTATTTAAAAATTCCAAAGTCTTTACAGCTAGTTTCATAAATTCTAGGACATCTGGCAAAAAATTGACCGCCGAATATTTGCTGATTCGTTAAGTTTGTAATTTCGGTAATGATAACTGTCGAATCAAAACCTATCAAATCGGCAAATATTCGGTCGGTCAATTTTTTGCCAGATGTCACAGAATTTATGAAATCAACTATTCTAACGAGCCCAAAAAATTCAATCATGGAATCTCGAGATCGTTAAGGATTCGTGACACATCAGGTGTTTTAGGTTTGATTAAACCAATCCTAAAACACCCAAAGTTTAACGATGAGATTCCTTAATTTTTGACGATTTTTGGCTCGTTAGAATCATTGAAACGGTCCTTTTGATGGTAAATAATCCAGAACGGACCAGTGAATCAAAAAATCGTCTATGGTTAATTTTTAAATGTTAATTCCAAATATTCGCGGATATGATTTGTAAATATGTATATTCATAAATATTATGAATATTCATAATATATATTTTAAATATTCATGATATTTTATGAATATTAATAAATTATGAATATCCGAATATATAAGCACTAGATTTTAGTAAAATTAAATTATTGATATTTGATTTATAACGCTTTCTTTACTGATGATAGATGTAAGCAAAAATGTAAAAACGACTTGCTGAATTATTAATTATTACGAATAATGTAACTATTTTAAGCAGTAAATCTTAATTTCAACTGTTTCGGTTATTAAAACTATTTTTTAATTATATATATCTTGAATTATTTATCGTCATATAGTTGATTATTAAATTGGCTAACTTTGAAGTTTGGGTTCAATTGAATATACACACTCGCCTTAAATACTAAAAATAAAAAACACTCGAAAATTTTAAAATAAACGTATTCAAATGTCAGCTCAACGTAGCAATTATTAATGCATATATTTAGTGTTTAATTATACAGGAATCATACAGGAATTATCTTATTTTAGAAAACTAACATAGTGTCTCTTAAATTTGATCAGGAAAGATTCACCAGTCCTTTTAATTCATATGCTATATTATTATCCGTAAACTTGGTTTTACCCATAAATTTGACTTTTAATTTTTACTCTCATAATTCCAAATTATAAATTGTATATTTCAATTTTCCTATTCAATAAATATATCAAATCTCACAAAATTTTCCGTTTTTATAGCAGAGGTTTTTGCATATTCCCAATCCTGATCATTTATTAAAGGACATATATCTCCTTTTCTTGATCTGTATTTTAACTTTGTTATGGGAATTTTAAACCTTCCTTTAAGATACACAATGAAATGATAAAAATTCTCGTGATCTGGAAAACATAATGCTCGCGTTTCAAGTGGTAGGTAACAAGTTATATAGTACTATCAATTAAAAAAAAAAAAAAAATCGAAAAAGTGAATAAGTATATATATATATGTATATGTGAATTCTATATTATTGTACAGAAAATCTACCCATTGACATCCTTGCTTAAGAGTCATTTGATTAGTGATTCCGTATTTTTCAAACCAAAGTCTATTTATTCCAGCTTCAAGAATAAGTAATTTTTCTGGTTGAATTTCTTTAAACGGTGTAAGTGACATCGAGCGAGCATGTTCAATATTAAAATTTGTTGTGCCCTTAGTTATCTCTATAGGTTTAGTTGATGATATATCAAAATACTAAATTTTTTTTTTTTTAAAAAAAAAAATAACAATAAACTATAGATAGATAGATCTTATTCAGTTAGTATATAACGACAGTAGAAAGAAAAAAGTAATTACCCTTTTTTGGAAATCCGGTAAAAGTCGTAAACATATTATCATTGATGTTGATATTTTAAAACTTGTTAATTGACTCAACGGAATCCTAATCTCAATTTTCATAGAATTTAAACAAATAGATAATGTTTCTTGATTAAAACGAAAGAGAAGTGATATATCTTTGGGTTTAGCAGCCCGAATAGTATTAATAGATCCAACATAATTAATTGTGCATAATCTAATATCAACTTTTAAATGTTCAGTAGTTGTATTTTCGTCATATTTATTATTTGTACTTGTGAACGATACATCGATGTCATTATGTCCAAGAGTTGAAAATAAAGTGGGTGACGACGAAAAATTCGATGTTTTTAATGTATGATCTCGAAATGAATATGGGTTTTGTTGCGCTGAACAATTTTTTTTTAAAAAAATACAATCATTGAACAATGCAAAATAAAATAAAAAAAATATGCTACACAAATCATAAATTTAAAATCATAAATTTAAAATCAGAATATTATTTTATACTTACCGAAAGTCATCTGCCTGGAACCCAGGAAATTTAACTTTTCAAACAAAAGACTTTATAAATTTTCTGAATCGTAAAAGTTTATCCGAGATCAACATAAATTTAATTTCTTGATTCAATAAAAATTTTATTAGGCTTTTAAATTTTATACGTATATATTCGAGAATATAAATTATTATTAATAAAGAAAAAAATTTTCGTACCGCGATGCTATTTATATATTTTGTTTGATTATGTAACATGCCAATTACGTTATGTTATGTTATGCACTTTACGCAGCAAAATCAAATGATGAAAACTCTCAATATAGTAAAGGTTAATTTAACTATAACTTTTTTGAGCCAGAATTATAAGTAAAATATCCTGAATTTTGTTTCTGTCGGAGTAAATGTCCGCACAGCAACACGTTTCAGTAAACCATTCAATACAACAGAATTTTGTGATTGGCTAACTGAGTTTTAAATGAGAGATTGTTATGCTTATGTAATAACGTACAAAAAATAACTATGATCGAAATAAGAATTTTTGCGTGATAACAAGAGTATTCTCGAAATATCCGAGCACATATCGACAAAAATTCCGTGCTTAAATCTTACAGTACAGTAAACCTTTATGTTAGTTATTCCTGGTTCTTATCTACGGTTTTATACTATTTTTTTTTAATCCGGAGTCATTATATTTCTTTTTGATTATAAAATCATTTTCACTTTTTTTAGCTGGCTAAGAAAGAAGGATGTAGAAATCTTGTGATTATAGCAAAGCTAAACTTTACAAAGTTAATTTGAAACCAAATTCAAACGCGGATCAGACGATCAAATAATGAAACTTGCTGTTTCGCAGTGACCATTCCGTTATTATCCGATCGTCTAATCCGGATTTGATTTATTTGATTTTCAATTATTGCCCACTTCGTGAGCAATAACATATACTTTACGGGCTTGCAAGATGAGTATTTTTAATTATATAATATACGTAAATCGGATACAATCATCTATTTTATAGACGAGTTTATTTGAGTTTATTTTAAAACAACAATTAATTTACAGGCAGTTTATTTCATAGTTTATTTATAAACAAATAGCTAGTTATTAACTATAAAAAAATTGTCTATGAAATGAGTAATCCGCAAAATAAACTATTTATGAAATGAATTGTTTGTAAATTAATTGTTTTTAAAATATAAACTTTATGAATTAATTGCACATATCCATGTAAATCATTGCTTTCATATAATAAATTATATTTAACTATATAGCAAGATTGGTATTGATGATCACTATTATACAAAGTGTTTTTTATATTTTACGCTTGCAAAATTTTTCGAGCTGATAAATTGCGTATTGTCAAAGAAATAGCTGAAGGTTTTATGTTTTTCTTACTAATTCATAAGCTCTTGTGTAAGCATATTACATAGTTTTAAATTTTTAAGACGATAATAACGCTCGTGAACGTTATTTTAAAACCGGGTTCTTCATATGGTCTCGAATTAGCGTTCATGGAGTCTCCTAATTAACGTGCATCATAACGTTAATGTAGTACATAATTTATTGTATTTCGCATACGTATAATAATAAAATGCACATAATTTGATCAGTCTAATGTAATTATTTACTATTATATGTTATTTTATTCTCCATAAATGAATATTCTATAAATGCACTTTTACCAACAACGTGAATTTATGAAAGGTTGACTGTATGAGATTTAGAAAATCTACTCTTATTTCGAAGTAACGCATATGGGCATACTCGAAGTAACGCGCAGAAATATGAAATTTCTAGAGAAAAAATTCGGATCCAAAGTTTTTATGACATAATATTTTTATACGGTACTAAATCCGGGACCCAATTCGAATTTTTTGGCCCAAGCCTATTTTACGGTTGGAAAATCTGATTCAATCGGAATTTTTCTACATAATTGCTGGATACATGTGCTAGATTTAAAACCAAAAATAGTAAATTACTGTATTATGTGACCAAATATGAAAGAATTAAAAAATGAAATATTAACGTTAATTCGGGCAATTTTTATTCAAAGTTAAAATTGATAGTTTTTGAAAGTAAATATACCGTAAGCCGGGTCTATTTCATTTCATCAATTTATCTAGTATACCTAATAAGTTATTTCGTGAAAGGAAAAATTTAAAGTGCATAAAATATTGTACTTATAATAGACAGTCTAGCTATTTGAAAAAAAATCCGCATTTAATTAATAAAGATCTGTGGCTCGCAGCCGAGTTTATTTACATTATTCTCTTTAATTTTAACTAATAATACTATGATTAAGCAAAATGAATTTTAAATAAGAATATCTGGTAAATTTTATTATTTTTTTAAGATACAATATTATCATTTTTATGAGTATCATGTTTAGGATTCTTTAGAGTTTTCGAATGCCACATCCTTGATCGCCTTTTTTTTTTTTTAAAAAAAAAAAAATCTTACCGTTACCGTTACATTGATCGGATAGATACGCTGCGCCTCTTCGAAAGCATATGGTGAAACAAATGAATAAAAAACCGTGTGGCTACTTTTGAAGAAAATTAGATACATATATATGCATTAAAGTAAAATCCTGATATATATACAGCTGCAGAATAGAAAATGGGAATTGGATCTAAATGCCCACAAAACGTTATTCTCATCAGAAAGGTTCTTACACATAAAGAATTTGATATAAAGAATTTTATGAAATGAGGATGCTTCCACATCAAGATAATAAAAAAAAATGGCATTTTGTACTTGTGTCCCATCTCACAAATAAGTTATACACAACGATAAGCCTTGTAAGGTGATACATATAAATTTTACATACATACATACGTACGTACAGTACGTATGGAATTTATTTAATTAATATGGACAAATCATTCATTATATGGAATATGATAACTGCGCAACGATGTCACGCAAAACCAGGAATATATTTGCCATTCAAATTAGGTTTTCAGAACGCGAAGTATGACTAAGGTTAATATTATTGTCTTTAATAAAGTATTATATGATATGATTTGCGAATATTGATAAACGATAAAAGGAATTATTTATACAATGTCATGTGAAAAAATTACACATAGATCAATTTATTAATTGGACATGCATACATCACTGTAGTTTTATTATAATGTAAATCAAGATCGGTTTTCAGAACATAATAGTAAAAATCATAAACATGGAAAAATCTTCCAGCGTAGTAAAAATCATAAACGTGGAAAATCTTCAAACAGGTGATGTCGTACATAAAAAAATAAAATAAAAATAAAAATAAAGCACAATAACAAATTAGCGACTCGTTGGCTTAATTAATAAAGAGTTTAGTTGAGGCAGCGTAAAGTCTATATAATGGAGCTCAGATGCTCTCTAATATTTTAACTTTTAAATCTTTGTTGAAAAGCAGTAAGTATAGCCACAATTTAATAGAGATTGGAACCACCTAAAATTTTATAATCGTTTAACTGTTTAACCGTGTTAACCATTTAGTTCAGCCGGCATTAATATAATTTTGGCTCACGATCAACATAATTTGGCCTGGAGCCATGGTGATTTTCATTTCATGTAACCTCTAAACCTCCAAAACGTACGTACGTACATCATAAAAAAAAAGAAGCATAACATTTTGCATTTTTTAATATGTTTATTAGTATTATAAAATTTGTGAATTCCGGGATTATAGAAATTATTTGTCCTGCGAGAACCGTAGCGGATCAGACAAATTTAAAAAATATATGTTTACTAAATGATTTCCGCAAAAATATATCGAATTTAGATGATTATCTATATTGTAATCAACAATGTACGTGTGAGAATCGGTGATTACCGATTTCAAATAAATATAAATATAATTAATAACTGATTGAAAATATGAATTAATAGACAATTTAGAATTTCAGAAATTTTTCCTCGATCATCATCACAAAAATTATGGGGTCACATCTTTTTGCAAAGAGCTATAATTAAATCCAAAACAACGATAAAATTATTTTCTAATATAGTTAGGATTATAGTAATTGTCGGATTATCACACTACTATAATGGATTTAAAAAAAAAAAACTTACTTACACTAAAGTTTTCTAATTTTTTTGCATTAATAACATGAATAATAATTCTATCGTAACTGTTAATGATGAAATTACAAAAAATACTCTTGATGAAAAAAATCCAAATAATTCGGCCGAATTTATTATTCAGGAACTTTTAAAGTTTGACAATCAGCGTCTAAACAAAGTTATTGTTTCTGCAGTTATCATAAAGTTAATGGATAATGAAAAGAAAAAAATGGATAAAAAAGTGGAATACCTATCTAAATTTATGTCCGCAGTTATCGAAAATATTTTAGAGATTGATGATCCTCAAGGCATTTTGATCGAATTCTTAAGAAAACATATTAAATTTCCACCTGAATTAGAAGAGAAAATGATTGAAATAAAAAGGGACGATAAAGTTATTATTAGAAAATTTAATGGATGCACTGTTCTAGATTTTTCTAAAGAACGTAAAAGAAATGAAGTAACAAAATGTTTTTTACCATTACCTAATTTATTTAAAACTGATCCTAAAGGTTTTATCGAAATTTTACTTACCGTTTTTTTAAATTCCACTTCTTTATCTCGTAACAATAGCAACTTTAAAAAATTGGCCGAACTCCGTTCAATTGAAATTTGCGAATCAAAAGTTTTCGATAAAATTGCTAGTTATGTCTATTATAGTACTTTTCCATCTTACGCTATGTTATTGTTTTATTATATGATCTATTTTAGCCTCTTTGTATTAGTAGTTCATACTGGAAACAGAATATTAATGATTGCAAGCTTAATTGTTGGTTCTCTTATAATTTTATATTCTACTTTGTTACAAATGTTGGAACTTTTTATGTTGGTTCTTTCTGGCAAAAAACGTATCTTACACACTGTATCTACATTATTGGTTGCAGCTGTCATATTTCCAGCAACTTTCCTTCCTTATGTTACATTAATTCTGGAACTTCATAATAATTCGGATTTTCCAAGGCTTCAATCACTTTCTATTTTATTTATGTGGTTCTTTAATGTTTCACAACTTCGTTTCATTGAAGGTATTGGAATTTTCCTTGCAAGTAAGAATTTATTTAATACTGATTTAACTTTTAGAAAAAGATACATTTACTAACATTTTCATTCATATAAAGTTTTAGAAAACATCGTCTTTCAGATCAGATATTTTCTTATATTTTTAGTCTTTGTTCTATTCTCATATAGCCATGCGTTGTTAGTTCTATTATCTAAGATCCCTCCTGATAATGATAATATTCCTAATACATTTACTGGCCTTGATGAATCACTTAAAAATGTTTGGATGATGCTATTAGGTGACTATGATTCTCTGGCTCCATGGACGAACAATAGCTTTTTAGATATTATCAGGATTGTTTTCTCATTTACCACAACTATCATTATCTTAAATATTCTGAGTATGTAAAAAAAATCCCCATCATTTCCTTAAATCTTTAGTGGTTGTTAATGCATGATTTTCCGAAAATCATTTTCCTGAAAGATATAATCTCAACCAAATTAGCTGACATTATAGCTAACTTCATCAGTATTAAGTTCTTTCGGGAAAATGACTTTTTAGGAACTTGAGTTACAATAGTTGTTAATATCTTTCTACCACAGTCGCGCTCATGAATGATACCTATGAAGAAACAAGTAAACATGCACGTGCTATGTGGATCGCACATGTAGCAGAGTTCGCATCAATTATGATGCCATTTTCAGAGTGTTTTGAATCGTCTAAATCTCGTTACTTTAAATTACGAGCTATTAAAGATGTTTCATACATCGTTTATGATGTTCCCACTAGATATTTTAATGAGCAAGAGCAGACAGTTCTTGCAAAAGAGCTATGTGAGATGTCTAATATTTCAGATTATGATCCAAAGAAGTTTGAAGAGATGTCAAAGGTATTAGATATTGATTTAAAGAAGTTGGATAAGTTAACAAATATTATATCTAAAATTAAATAAATAAAGTATTATATATTTTTTTAATATATGCATGAGTATAATAATATATATCACATTGAAATGTAAAAATCACATAAGCTTAGAATCTGCAAAGAAAAAAGATTCTTATTAACCGTAAAACTTGACACGTTTTTTAGTCGGAAAATCGATAATTATAAGACATTGATCGTATGAAGAAAATTTTTTGTTTTTATACAACCAATATTGATATATATTATTGTTTATATTATAGTTAGTACAGTCGGTACTGTCTAATTGCATGCTACCTGTAGTGATGCGAACGGCTAAGCCGAGCCGATTAACGGCCCAGCTCTAGGCCTGCTAATATCAAACGATCGTAGAGCAAGGACACGTAAAATTTTAGTTTTAAAAACTCAAAATTTTTTCTGATAACAAAAAATTTAGGTAAAATTTAGTTTAAATTTAATAAATTTGGATTTAAATTTGATAAATTTAGATTTAAAATTAGAAAAATTTTATATGTTCATTCTTTTGTTTTGTTAAAATACTTAATAATTCAGTATTTAAATTTTGCCGATTGTTTTGATTATAATATAAAATTAGGAATCAAATCACACTAAGTCACATAAATTTATGTCTCTAGATCACGGCATCAATATCCAATATATACTGTATATTTTAGAAATAATAAGCTAAGTTTGTATAAAATTTTTATTAAAAATAAAACACGTATCACTAATGATAAGTAAATCAAATATTTTATTGAATCTACTGGCAGGCTATGCAGCCTGCACGGGCCCACATTATAGTAGTTTACTGCTAATGCAGGCCAGAATTGTAAAATTCAAAAATATTCCAAAACTCTCGTATCACAAAACTATATATAATACAATATAGAAAGTTTTGGAAAATTTTAGAAATAAATTCCCAAGAATTTAAAATTTTGAAATTTTATATCTAAAATTTTACGGGTCCCTGAGGCCTGCTAATAAAACATTGGCTCTAAAAACGGCTCGGCTCAAACTTTGGAGCCGATCGCGGAGCTGCGAGCCGATAGGTTTATATCGTATTACTATTACCGTATAAGCGCGAAATAGCGTCTATATATCTGTGCGCTAATTAATTGACTTTAGCCTTATTTCGAATACGTCCATGTGCGTTATTTCGAAATAAGATAAGATTTTCTAAATTCAATATAGTCAACCTTCAATAAATGCACGTTGTTGGTAATAAAATATTCATTATGGAGAGTAATCTACATATAATATTAAATAATTAAATTAGACCGATCAAATTATATACACCTGTCATTATAGGCGCATATGGAGTATAAACTGTATATCTATCGCATTAATTCAGGACGCACATGAGCGCTAATTCGAGACCATATGAGTTATTTTTGAAGGATTCGATTTTCAAAATAACGCTCACGAGCATTATTTCGCGCTTATACGATAGCCAATAATAAACTCGTCTCCATCGTGACTTGACTTCAATGACATTGACAATTTATTCAATTGTTCGGATAAAGTTACCAAATCACTTTTAAAAATCTAATGTTTCAAGTATGTAGAAAAATATCCGAAATTTCTATAAATTAATTAGAAACTTTAGCGTTTATATTTTCTATGCTTTAATATTTTTTACTTAAAAAACGTCTCTAAGTGAAGTATACTTACATAGAGTAGTACTTGAAGCTTCATCTGTGAAGAACCTTTTACTGTACAGTATTATAAATGATAGTTATATTTTTGTAAAAAAAAAAAAAAAAAAATTTACCGTATAAATTCATATATTAATATTTTATTAAAGTAACGGCTTGAGGTTGATCGGCTTGTAAATGCTGAAAGATCGGCTCGGCTTGATCAGCATTAGCCGTGAGCCGAGCCGAGCCATTCGCATACTAGCTATCAGTCGGAGACTATTTTAAGCATATAGAGCCATTTTAGCATTAATAATTAAAAGTCAAAATTTTTTATGCATTTAGAGAGTATATGCAATTAGACAGTATCAACTGTATATAAAATCTTTTTTCATGATATTTCGAATAAATGTCATTTTATGACAAAAATACCAAGCAAAGTTTACTTAAACATATTATAGAACAATAATAATTAAATCTGTGATTATTAAATTATTTGAATATTCAATAATATTATGTAGTTACTTTATACAATGAGTACATTTATTTATTATAAGTGCTTTTTTAAGTTTTATAATAATTATTATATTAAATTTAAATATTAAAATAAAAGATTAGGCAATATAAAGTTAATTTTTTGGATTTAAAAATAACCCGGAAATACATAATAAAATTTTGGTCAAATCTATAACAATAATAGTAAGTATTCCTGTTTTATTTTTGGTTAAGCCAGTTTTGTATATAAAAAATAAACCCGGTTCCAACTAGGTATGGGCTGTTAAACTAATTAAATATAAACTATATATATATATATATATATATTAAGTATCATTACTCGGTTATTATTATAGACTCCATTCAAATTATTAGTTTATTACTCGTTTTATTACATAAAAGCTACTTCTAAACTAGAGATGCGATCTGTTATCCATTTTCATATTTCCTATTTAAGGATTCTTTATAATAATTTTTGTTATAAAATTAAATTAGAGGATATCCAGATCGCGTCTCTAACTCTAAACAAATATTCAAACCTGTCTATTATTATTACAGTCAACTCCCGCAATAGTTATCTCGAAATAGTCACAATCTCGCTATAATCACCTTAACTTACTGTGTAATAATATATCGATATATACTATATAAAATTTTCTCGTATTAGTCACAATCTCATAATAGGCACATAAAAAGGCTGATTTTAGCATGTGACTATTGCGAGAATTGACTGTAGAACTAGTGATGGCATACACATGAATTTTGAGAACCATGCACATGATTTTGTAAGTTTATCTAGACAATCATTTATATAATTAAAAATATTAGAAAAGATCTGTTATTATAATAAAATAGAGATTAAAGTTTAAAAAACCCTCAATTAAAATTTATTATCATGTCTAAGCCTCTAATAAACCTTATACAGTATATTCTTATAATAAATTATTGTTCATTATGAGTGTTCTATATATTTTTACCAATCATTTTTTTTGTGTGAAAATTAAGGTACAACTTACATTCTTAATTTATTTGAATTACCAATTTATTTTACATTATAAATATGACTGTGTGAGTAAATCTGATTCTCAAAAATGTATAAAAGATTAGTGATTGAATAATTTTATGGCATTTACTGGTTTTATCAAGACATACAGCATATCATACGGAATGGTTTTTAAAATAAGTATTTTAGAAGATCTGAATAGTTGGATGGTCAAATTATATGGTAAAAGGGTGTAAAATGTCTATTTTAAAAACATACTATACTGATCTCATTATCAATATTGTGAAATTTGTAGATTACAAGAGAAAAAAACCTGAAATCACTACTACAATTTACTATCATGTATTCAAAATGAAGAATAATGTCCTCATTTTCCACTGCGGGAAATAAGCTAGTAGATAATAAGCCAGTAAATCTCTGGCTATATGAGGCCCTTCAAACCCTCATACAATCAGGAATTTATCTCTTATTCCTACCATTGCGAAAAATAAATAGTGCTTATTAACTTTTAATTTGATTTCTTATTTCATTGATTTAGTGGATGATTATAATAATGGATGTATTTAAATTAGTTTATAAGTTTAGTCTAAAATACGAAAAGTTATTCTATTTTCGGTAAGATTATAAAGTCACTTATTTAGGTTAATTTAACTGAAAAGTGTAAAATAAATTGTTAATTTTTTTTTTTTTATTTTTTTATCAAGGGAGGTCTCTCCTCTAGTTCTTTATTAGATAAAATTATGAATTATAACAGAGTTAAAATTGAAATTTTACATTTACAAAGTAGAAGTTAGGACATCTTATCCTCGACCAAGCCTTCACTAGGATGGTCGCAAGACCTCTAGATTGTGAAGTATT